TACAGTTAAAAAAGTAAGTCAGAGAATTTTCATTTCGAAAATAAGAAGCGTGTTTGTCCACCTCTACTTGCGACAACGGCAAAGGCAAAACGTCAATGTTGTTCGCCTGTAGAAAGTCCCGATGGCACGTGAAACATGTGGTCGCGCGTTGTCGTGCTGGTAGACCAGGTTTTGACGTTGGCGGAACATCGGTACATTCACAGGACGAAAAAACCTGGTCTATGCGCCTTGCTGTGAGGTGACCTTGGCAGACGACAAGTTGTGTCTTAAAAATGTAGTTTATCGATGCCCTGACCATAACTCCGCCCCTTCGTAGGGATTGTTCTCCACAACGCGATTGTCAACGTTGCGTTATGGAAAGCCATTGCTGTCTGATATTGTTCTTTTTCAATTTATGTAACCATTTTGATTATATATAAGTTCACTTCGACTATATATGAATTGAAAACACCTTCTTATTTAACCGGAATCCATTATATGAATCCACAGTTACAATTTATGAAACCATACCGTCAGTGTATGAAACCGAGTTAGCAATATATAAGTTGATTTTCTCAATATATGATACCAATTCTTCAATATATGGTACCAAAGTAGCTATATATGGAACCAGATGTCCTGATATGAAACCGAACTATCAATATATTAATTTGTTTTTACAATATATGAAACCAATTTATCAATGTATGTAACCAAAGTAGCAATATATGAGTTGGTTATTACATTATATGATACCAATTCTTCAATATATGGTACCAAAATAGCCATATATGGAACCAGATGTCCTTATATGAAACCGAATTATCAATATATTAATTCATTTTTACAATATATGAAACCATTTTATCAATGTATGGAACCAAAGTAGCACTATATGACTTGATTATCACTTTATATGATACCAGTTCTTCCATATATTGTACCAAAGAAGCCATATATGGAACCAGATGCCCTTATATGAAACCGAATTATCAATATATTATGTCACTTTTACAATATATGAAACCATTTTATTAATGTATTGAACCAAAGTATAAATATATAAGTTGATGTTACATTCTATGATTGCAATTTTCATTATATGGAACCAAAATAGCCTACTTTCAAGTCAACAAGTCAAAGGCCGAGGTCACTGGGTACAATGCATTACAATGCATACACTTTTTCTTGAAATCAATTATTATTTGACAAGTTATTTTTAAACTTTGTGAGTAGATTAACCTTGATGTGTCCTACTGGCCATGCCCATTTTTGATCAAAGGTAAAGGTCGAGATGAACTTATTTTTTAAATATGTTTTTGTTAATGGAATTGGTCAGTACGACTCAGTTGCTTAAATTATGACATACAACTCGTACATATATAACGATAAGTTTTGCCTGCCCAGGCCATTTTAAATAAATGTGACGTTAAATTCAAATATTTCCTTATTTAGAAAATGTGCAGTATGCAATCAGTGAAGCACGCTGGTCTTTTGACAGTTCAACAAGGAATAATGGCGCGAAACTGTAATACCGGTGCAAGGATAGAATACAGCCTTTCAAAAACGTACCGTCAATATAATGACATTTTGGTTCCATATGTTGCTATTTTGGTATCATATATTGAAGAACTGGTATCATATAATGTGAAAATCAACTTATATATGGCTACTTCGGTTACATACATTGATAAACTGGTTTCATATATTGTAAAATTGATTTAATATATTGATATTTCGGTTTTATATCAGGGCATCTGGTTCCATACATGACTTACTTGGATCCATATATTGAAGATCTGGTATCATATAATGTGATAATCAACTTATACATTGATATTTCGGCTCCATACATTGATAAAATGGTTTCATATATTGAATAATTGGTATCATATATTGTGATAACCAACTTATATCAGGATATCTGGTTCCATACATTGCTACTTTGGTACAATATATTGAAGAATTGGAATCATATATTGAAAAAATCAACTTATATATTGCTAACTCGGTTTCATACACTGACGGTATGGTTTCATATATTGTAACTGTGGATTAATATAATGGATTCCGGTTAAATAAGAAGGTGTTTTCAAGTCATATATAGTCGAAGTGAACTTATATATTATACAAATGGTTAAATAAATTGAAATAGAACAATATCAGACAGCCATGGCTTTCCATATTGCGTTCGTTACGTCGCCTGTACACACGGATTCGCCATTCGGCGTTTCATAAGTTGAAACGCGACTCGTCGCTGAACACCACGTTCTGCCAACGCTGACCGCGAGACGTTTGTGACGGTGGCGTAAAGTTAGAACAGTCTTAACACGTCGAACAAGACGCCGAATCGTCGAACGCGAGACTTTAAAACGTCTAGCGACTTGTTCATGCGTTCACCCGCAGCCAAAACGCGAGCTCTCTCTTCAGAATTTAGCATTGGCATTCTTAAATACGAATGTTTAATCAGAAAATCTCTAAAATAGTGAAAGTCTATCGACAAGCACATGTAACTGTGTTAAATGTGATCGATTTCACAACGTGGTAAACATACACGAGGTGCACGTAGAAATCATGAGCAGCCACCAGAAATAAACATCGGGCTGAATAGAAGCGCACGATTTCTCTTTACCGTGATTGTCTATCAATGTACATGTATACAGACAACGTTTCACTAAAATTTCAATAGGTATGAGGACAATAACGCCAAATTCCGTTGGGGCCTTTTTTTAGCCCGTCAGTATATAAATGTAAATTATTCCATACTTGCATTGCATTATTTCAAAAAGTTCTTTTAACATATTCTGTATTCGATCTTGCATGGATTATGTTTCTATTTGTATTTGATATAAGTGTATATGTTTCATTTTTCGAGAACCTTAAAATATCTGAAATGTAGGAAGGAGTCAATTCTTGTATAGATTTAAATACTAATAATGCAGTATGATATGTGCATCTATTTTCAATAGTTAACCAGTTTAATTTAAGGAAAAGTTTTAAGGATGGCATTTAAACTGGTTTACACAATATTATCTTTGCTGCGCGTTTTTTTTTCAGATTCAGTTTTATTACAAGTACTCCATGTAATACAACAATAGTCAAAACAAGGTAAAACATACTAAATAGGCATTGTAAAAAATTTAAATACGCTTTAACAGAGCTATTTGCTTTTGTAATTTATTACAGACGTGCTTTATTTGAACATTCCATATTAAGTTTTCCTTCTAGTAAATACCTAATAATTTCTGTGATTTCGTATGAATTAGGCATGTACCTTCTATATTTATATCTAAAGAAGGTTTGGATTTCAATTTTATAAGATTAGCCTAGTTAAAGCACAGAGCTATATTTGATATATAAGACTCTCGCGAACCTTCGGCAAAAGACCTGCACACGGCGTACGCTCAAAACAAGCCGAGGTACGCTCCTGTAATAAACAAGACAAACACAGCTTTATTGAAATTACTAGCTACAATTTCATTCCGTGAAACGGGGTTCCGTTGCATACACGTAAGGGAAGCAACTTTGTAGAAGTTACTGTATAGCACAGTTTAAATAAACAGAGATGAAAGAAATATCAAAGTAAATTTTGGATTCAATCAAGTGTATTCAAGGGCCAGAAGGTGATAATCGGCCCTGAATCGGGCTGTTCAAAGCCCTCGGGGCCATAATTCATTTTGAGGGCCGATTATCACCTTCCGGCCCTACTCTGCCGTGTATTAAATCTCTTAACATTGTTCTGAGTCAGAATTTGATACATCTGTCGGTAGCAATTCGTTGAAATTTTTATCATTCAATAAACATTATACATTGTTTTCGTGAGCAAGAAACTTTACACTCCTTGTTTTGCACTAGTTGGTTCCAGGAACGGACTCGGGATTGTTTCAATATGCTTATAGCTTCCAACACTATCGAACTGAAATAAATTAGTATAAACTAAACTAAACTCTAAACTACACTAAAACTTAAACACGAAACCGATGAGGTTAGATCAAATTAGAGAAATGCTATTTGTGAACTCTTCTATTACGTCCTTTCCTTGGTTATTTATCATATCAACTGATGAAGATAAATTGTTTTGGTTCCTATGGACTATTCCATAAAAATCTAAACCAAATGCCCCGCGTAATTAACAAACTACGATGTATGATCATTGAATATGAATCTGATTTTTGAAACGGAAACTACAAAATAGTGAAAATTGTATCCCTAAATAACAAAATGGTATTTTGAAAGGGTATCAAAAGTTATGAAGCCTGCATATCACAGATAAGACGTCAAAAGACAAATTTTAAAAGTAGGCAACATATCCTAAGGGTGATTATACAGTGTTCAAGTAAGGGATACAATTTAGCCAAATTTATAATTATTTGTCTGATATTTTGGATCATAAAAAATAGATTATATAAATGTATTTATTACGACTGATGTAATACAATTAGTAATGTAGTACTGTAATAGAAAATGCTGGATAGTGATGATGGTCGTGAAGGCAGTAGCGTTTTAAATAGTTGTAATAAATACTACTACTACTACTACTTGTAGTTGTAGTAGTAGCAGCAGCAGCGGCAGCGGTAGCCGAGGAAGTGGTAATGGTGGTGGTGGTGGTGGTGGTGGTGGTAGTGGCAGTTGCAGTAGCAGCAACTGTAGCAGTAGCAGTAGACTGTAGTAGACGCATTAGTAGTAGTGGTGGTGGTGGTGGTGGTAGTTAATTGTGGTAGTAGTGATGGTAGTGGTATTGGTGGTGGTAGTGGCGTGCCTCAGGAGTAGCAGCAGCAGTAATGGAAGTTGAAGTAGAGATGGTAGTAGTGGAAGTTGTTGTGGAGGTAGTAATAGTTGCAGCAACAGAAGAGGAAGTACGAGTAGCACTAGTTGACTTATAAAAAAATAACAAAAAAAAAACAAAAACAACAACATTATATACGATGCTGTAAAACAACAACAACTATAAAGACACAAAATATCGTTCTATTCATTAAGACAATAACATTTTAATCCTTTCTGCAATGAGTGTGCTAAAACAATATTAATGAATCATTTTTACAGCTATCAGACCCGTTCTATTCAGCCCAGATGTCAACAGAAGGTTTGTTAGCTGATACCTTCAAGCAGGTTCAAGCCATAAACTTGGACTATCCGAACACGAACTATGACAGGGGTCATCTGAACCCGAGTTTCTACCAGTGTGATGAAAGACGTACCGCAACATTTACACTCACTAACGCTGTTCCGCAGGATCCCTGTTTCAATCAACAAATATGGAAACAAATGGAAGATGTGTCTAAAGATATAATGTCGGAAAAATGTAATTTTCCTGGTGCAAGAAGGTTTGTGTGTCTTATATATGTAATATTATTTAAATTATGTTTATAAGTTTTCATGTTTTTTTTCTTTTCGATTTTTTTTCATATTGAAGACATTTCATTTTCCCATAAGATACTGTTGCACTTATTGGTCGTGCCCATATCACACTATTGCACTTTTTGCTCGTGCCTATATAACAATTTTACACTTATATATAAGGCCGAGTATAACATAAAGCTTAAATAAGCTGAGGCTCTAGATGAGGGTTATATTGCGAACAATCGTCTTGGAACATGTACAAATCATGCTCAAGAAGAAATCGATTACAAGAACAAGATCAGTTCACTGCTATGGAAGATAATCACTGCCAAAATTACGCCCAGCTTTTTTTTCATGCACTTTTTATGGGCAATATGATGTATTCATAACTAATTTGTTTTGATATCGTTGTAAGGATAGACTACGCTTTTACTGTCAGACTCGTAAAAAGAGAATATTGAATGAGTGTTCTCATTCAATATCCTCTTTTTATGTTATGTTATACAAAGTTATCCCTATTATCTCATATAACTGACGATCTTATCAGAGAAGCGTGTGTCAAGTCAAAATGCTATTCCTTTTTTCCCTCAGATTTTTTGTTACTGGTGCTGTACCATCAAACAATAAAATCCCAGCATACCAACAAGATGAACAAGAAGATAAGTCGAGAGATATAAACAGGGTGAGTATACCATCTATCATGTGGACCGCGGCTTGTTGTGACTCTACAAATTCAGTATATGACGACGACAGGGATAAAGGATTCTCGTTTGGATATTACGGCGATAATGTACCTGACTCGTACGTGATTCCGTACTTAGTAACACAGTTAGAAGAAGAACTAGCAAATCAATACGGTGTTTCTAAAATAAACATTTTCGATGATTCATGTTTCTCATCTTCAGAAAACTCTGAAGATGCTGTACAAAAGTTAAATGTTCCAGTAGAACGTAGAATTATGAAAACCATTGCTGATATGAGCGAATCAAGTAAGTTTTTAAATGACCCAGATAAAAAATCATTTCTAGACAATTTTAATTCCGAATCACAATTTAATAACAACTTTAATAATCAGAACTGGGGGTTACATGACGTAGATGTTGGGCTGAGAGATACACGTGACAATGTTCAGTATACACGTGCTAGACTAGCGCCCTATGGAATGGTCCCGCTGTTAATGTATCCCAATAGTCATGCCGTTAGCAAACGGTCAGTAGATGGATCTGTTACTCATAACGAAGACGAATACATCATTGTTCCATCAAGAGAATCATCTCTCAGCGCCGGAGGGTCCCGATGCAGGGATGATCATCCGTGTGGTTACCACAAAGAGTCATACCAATGGTGCTATACAGACTGGAGCAACAACTGGGACTACTGTTGTATAGATGACTGTGGCCTTAGAGACAGTACATCATACTCGTGGTGCTACACAAGCAATTCGAAACACTGGTCATACTGCTCACAAAGAAGTTCAATGATTGGGGTAGAAGGAAAACGCTGCAGGGCTGATCATGAATGTGGACTGCATGGCAAATTTTACCATTGGTGTTACACAGACACGGTCGACAACTGGCAGTATTGCTGTCAACCTTGGCATACTTGTGATAAGCATAATAGAAGTTATAAGTGGTGCTACGTCGGTTTCGAGAAGGAAACTGAAGAGAAATTTTGCAATTATTGAACGAATAACAATAAAGCATGTAATTCTGTACATTCTATGATTTATTACAACGCAATAAGAAAGACGAAAATAGTTTTGATGATAAATTCAAGGTTGTTCTTTTGTCAATGGCTGCTGAAAACTTGTATAAATCAGAAATAGATTTTGGTTAATTTATGTTGCATGTATGTCCCGACATCGTCTATATAATGTTATAGTATAGCTTTACGCAATTATAAAATCTGACACTTCAATAAGTTATTTTTGGGAAATGTATATCACGTTTTTTAAAGCAAAATATATATATATATCCAAATTGTGGTATTGAGTCTCACTACATTAAATTAACGTCACCGGCGTGATTGAGCGCTGATTTTACACATTTCATGTCCTATATTGTAAAGCCTCTTATATAAAAAAAATATAAATAATGTATTGTGAACCAACCGATGAACACGTTATACCATCCGTTTAAGTTCAATCTTTAGTAATAGTACTGTGTATTGTCTAGAGACAGCTAGCCTGGGTTCCAGTCTGTCGATTTTTTATGTGCTTCTGTTCGGCAAAATACTATCAAAACCAGAGATGTTGTGTTATCTATGACGATCGAGTATGTAATAGCGCGTAAGTTATGAATAAATGAAAAAAATATCAACGCCTGAATCCCAGGCTAAGAGACAGCATATAACATATAGCATATTCGAGTACCATAAACATGAGATTAAACTTGTTAAAAGGTTCGATTGTTTATAACAAACTATTTTTTTTTACTATTTTGCCATTGGTGTATATAAAAAATGTTTCTCGAATATGCTACTTCAAATTTATATATTTTATATAAGTCTAGATCTACTTAAATCCCTTTTTCATGCTTTCGTTAGTTTAGTAGGAAGCTTTCATTTGTATATCTTACTTTATTAACCGTAAATGTAGTAAACATGTGTATAAAACTAACAACGAAACTTGTTATTTAAAATGGTAAAGCCTATGAAGTCAGAAGAATTCCGTTTTAAGAAACCACGAACAACTTGATTTCAGAATCATGACCTAAAGCTTTTCAGAGTTTTCTCCCTTTCAATGAATTTTTGGCGTGTTGGTCTGGCGTTTTTTTGTGATGCTGATTTTTTACGTTCAATTACGAAATTGTTCAAAACTGTAAAGAATGATGAATTGAATCCAAAGATTTCTTTTCGGAAAAAAAAATAAAGCATACGAACGAAAACGGGCGTTTGTCATTAAAGCCGCAAGCCTCCAGATGAGCCAAAGCATTTCAAGAAAATCAAGTTTGGGAAAAATGTAGAAAAGTGTTCCTAATTTAGTCTACATGTTATATGCAATTAATGACTGATTTTGCAGTATTTATCAACATATTTATTTCTACTGCGTGACTAATGGGCTATTTTTGCGTATTTTGACCTTTATTTGGTAATTTACTTGGATTGAAAGTGCCGTTTGCAATGTGAGAATTACTTCCTTTGTTCACTCGACAATATTTTATTTTTTATACATTTTCAAAATTTCCAAGAAAATTAGCATGAATGTCGATGCATGCTGCTTTAAAGCAGCACTCAACTGTTCGCTATATTGTATTGTTTAAACTTTTATATTAACCCTTTACCTCATATATACGCGAAACAACGCACTTTCGACCCCCCCCCCCCCTTTTAGGCCTGAAATAGTGAAAAAAGTCCTATTTGGGCCCCAAACACATGTTTTCGTTTAAGAAATGTTGCTAAAAAAAGTGAGCACTTTTTCGGCGCCGCCCCCATCCAAAAGATACATCAGGGGGTTGCCAGAAGTGGGGTGTGGGGGTTTGAAGGGGGGCGGAGTCCCCCTCATCGCCAAGAAAATTTTGGACTTGTTAGAGGCTTAAAATGACCCCAGGTCGATCATAAAGTTACGTGTAACCAACGCTGAAAAGCCTTTGACTCTATCTCAATCCCTTGAGAAGTTGCAGCACTTTGAAATAAATTTTGATGGAAAAAATCGAGGCAAATAGTGATTTTTGGCAATTTTGAGATGTCCCTCGTTGCCACGGTAACAGGAAATTTAAGACTGAGCATGTCGTTACAAAGGCAATAGTCTAGTCAACATTTGTGCCAAGTCTGATTAGTATTGAAGCATTTTTCATAGTTTCGTAGCAGTTTGAACTTGTAAGAGGAGGCTTTTCAGTGAAAATGGCCATTTTTCACAATATGCTCATGGGAGAAAGGGTTAAACTAACATACTTTGCATAATTTGTATTATGTTGTATATTGTAAATGCGTGTTACATGTCTTATAACAATTGTACTATTTAAACATGCACATTGTTTTTGTTTGTGATTTAATATTGTGTAGTGAAACATGTGCCTATTAGCAATAAGCAGATAATATAAAGAAACATGGTGAATCACCATTGACCTATATTGTCAGTCTTTAATTTTGAAACTTCAAAGGCTGACATAAATTGGACTAATATCTCGAAATATAGTACCGATGTTTTATATCTTAAAAGACCTTGACTTTCGAACTGTTTTCATCAAGGTAATATGCTCCAGAATGAATCATATAAATTGTATCAATAAGATCTGTATGCTTAAAGTGAATAAAGTAATGAATAAAGTAATGTTTATAGCTGCAAATCACAATATTTTGTGGTACTAGTTTGGCACATGTTTTGACTGTATAAGTGGGATAAGAATTTTTGCAATGGAACAACTCGCACAAAAATATCATATACACAAGCAAAGTTCTCGCCCCGACGATATATTGCACAATGAATATGTTATTTACATATAATTACCAAATACATATTTTATTTTGATAAGATTGTCATTCGCCATGTAATGAACTTCTCTGTAAACATACATGTATAAAAGTAATTATATTTCTAGGTTAGGAGATCACGTGTCTCACTTTTACACTTTTGCACTATTTGATGTAAATCGACTTTAATTTTGTTGTTACAATTTTAATGTCCAATAAAAGTTATGTTATGTTATGTTATTTAACAATAAGGAAGTGGGGAAATACAACAATAACAAACAATATATAGAGCTGTTTTAGTTTTTATTTTGCTTTAGTTTATGGTTTATGGTTTTGTCATCAGAATACGATTATGAAAATGACAGGTAAAGCTACAACAACAACTAGGCTTATGGTATATAACACTATCACGTGATCAATGAGGTCATATCATGAACTAGGCTTATGGTATAACATGGTATAACATTATACCAGTGACGTCATATTGTAAATAATCTCAAAGCAGGCGTCATAAAACCAACATACGTGATGGAGAACAAAATCTGAAGGGGGGGGAAACATTGCAAGAAAAACACTGACTTTCGCAGTGTGAATTTAAATTTAACAATTATAATTAAAAAGCCTATTTATTGTTGTACCTTGATGCTATCTACATAATATGAAAAATGTTTATATAAGGAACTTAAGGGACAATGATTAAAAAATGCTATGCTAGACAAAATTGAGTATTGCACCACAAAAATAAAAGATAACCGGCCTGACATTTTAGCTGAGTATAAGAGTATGAACATGGGACATTCTGAGTAATGTGGGTACAGATCTAAAATAAGTGCAGCAAAGATAATAAACAAAACATTTAAACGTAGTTACACGTTGAAAATTGGCATACATATAATTGTGTTATTGCAATGATCATGTATATTCATGAACATATGTCTCATTAATAATCGTTTGTTTGAAGAAATATAAACACAATCCATCACTCTAATTAATCATTCACATGTAACTATAATTTGCTTCTGTACAATAACATTTTCATTTTTTAATTTTATGTTCGCAACGAATGCTTTCATTGGATAATCATAATATTTATATTATTTATATTACCGACTATTACAAATTAAAAAAGAAAAAGAAAAAAAAATAACCAAAAAAATCAGTTTCGCAGTATTATAAATTGGTATAAAGACTTTTTAAAAGGTTAAATGGTCGAATATAAACAGTTGTTTGATAATTTCATCACTACTATAAGATAATAATGGAACACCACGTGACTGCTCTTATCGAATAATTATACACGACCCTATTGGATGACGATATATCCGTAATATATACCGTTTATACTGAGTCAAACATATCTATATCTACTTATATACTAGTAATCTCAATTTCAAACATCAGAAGAAAAAGCTAAATTAACAGAGCTGTTCAACTCGAGTATTTGTGTCCTACTGGAAGCTTATTGATGGTCTTGCAAACATAAAAACATTGAGACAACAATGCAGGTGAACAATGGTGAAATATTTATCAAAATTATGATACACTTATTGCAAAAAAATAAACCCAAAGCAAAAAAATAATGGAAAGAAAGTGTGAAAATATTGTACAACTATTTAAAGAGACATTATGCCCATCCAAGGGTAAATAGTGAGTGAACGGGTGAAGATCAAAATAAGTGTTCATTTTGCCATCATTCCTTTTAATAAAATAATTAATTCCAAATAATCAATAAATAACGTACAGATCCAAACGAAATTTCTGTAAATATCCATTAGAATTTACATATAACGCTTACTTTATAAAATGATTGAGGCAGTCTTTTTATATTTTAGGCAGATTTATAATTTTATCCTAAACATTTTTCAATATCAACTGTTGGTAAAACACCATTTTGACAGTCAATCTTTTGAAATATAAAGTCAATTCAGCTCAACTTGACTATGAAAATATTAGCATAATGTCACTTTAATATTCATTAAAAATAACTTAGTTTAAGAAAAATTAATTAAGAGTGTTTTATGCAAACAAGTAAACAAATAGAAACAGGGATTGTTCTTATAAACAAACATAAAATATTTTATGACAAATAAAAAAAAGGTTAAAACAGTGTTTAATTATAATAAAATAGAAGTTCGTTAATCTACATTGCAAAAAATAATATATACACTATATACATAGAGCCGTTTGTACATAAATAAATATTGCATATAAAATAAAAGAACAGAAATAGGGAAAAATGGGGATTTCTTATAAACATAATGCTTAAATAATAGAAGAATACAATCGTAAAAATATAAATACTGACAACATGACTAAGGAAATGGTAACAACACTTCCAACAATTGTGTTCATTTTTTAAAACTCGCACAATAATTTCGTATCCAAAAGTTGTTTTTTGAGTCCAGCAAAAGCTAATTTTTGTTACCTAAAACATCCTAATGAGTTATGAGTATGGCAACTTATTTGGTGTACAGACGTGACATATTTCCGATAAAATCATATATCTATTCACTCTATCAATTTGATACACAAGTTTTACTTTGGTTTAAGAATATTTTTTCATGAACAAAATGATGAAAAGGAGAACGTATAGTATAAACAGAATTACGTGAAAATAGCATTAACGTAGTTCCAATTGGTCTTTAAATGAAATGTAGGTCATGTGACGTAACGTTACAAAATTGTCACGTGATGCTGTTTTTTCAACAACAGATGAAATGAAGGGACAGATCATTGTACTAAATATGGGTGAAAAATAAATGCTTCACACAAACACACAGTTATCTACGCTTGTATAGCACTTATAGCATTTATAAACATTTAAACATGCGCAGTGTGAAACCGCCGGAACTACTTTTTTATAACAGCATCACTTACTACAATAACATTTTAACACACCATTCATTCAATAATATAGATAAGTGAGTATTTACACCTCGTTAATATTAACAACAATAATAATCATGTTCTTCCAACGACATAAATTTACGTTTCTAACACACAATATATTTTTAGCCATCAACTTTTAACAAAACAAAAAGATTAAAAAAAAAGAAAATAAAAAATTCATGTCTAAGTAATTAAGTATTTAAGTGACGAGAATAAGAGGTGTTCTACACCTTATTTCTAGTAAAAAGTTTCCAGACTTAGTAAGTTAATTAAAATATATTAATATGATAAAGTAATTTTCGTGTAATCACAATTATAAAATTAGAAAATATAACAAATAAACTGGGTCACTGTTACTAGACATAAAATCTGAAACAGACCATGCAAGGGAAAACATCCAATGTATCAAAGTTTATTTTAGAACATCGTTACTTTAGTACTTAATTTATCTACTTGACATTTCTTAATATCTTGACACCAAATAGTTAAACAACATGATGCTCCATGATAGGATATGAGTATTTTATAAATCATAGCCCTTGCCCAAAGAAATAAGTAAATTAGAATACTGAAAAATGGAAACTTTATTTAAGTGCTATTCTGAAATGTGACCACTTAAAACAATGGTAGGTACTTAAGTTTAACACTTACTACGCTTAACATCTTAAATGAACTCGTCCATCTTTCAATCTGGACAAGATCATTAATTTCTTTTAGGGAAAATTTCAAAATATTTACTGTCTGAACAGCGAACAATGAAGACATGATCAGACGACATGATCCTGCCGTATGTCATGTAATATGAGCCGTGTCACGACAAAACCAACATAGTGCGTTGGCGACCAGCATAGATCAAGACCAGCCTGCGCATCCGCGCAGTCTGATCAGCTTACAAACCCTATAACAAGTAGAAAAACTGATAGCGAACAGCATGGATCCTGATCAGACTGCGCGGATGCGCAGGCTGGTCTGGATCCATGCTGGTCGCCAACGCACTATGTTGGTTTTGTCGTGACACGGCTCATATTATTTTGTAATGGTCGCACGGATTGCAGCCAGCTTAGAGTTAAGTCGCTCTTGAGAATTAAGTTCCGCGCTCGGTCATAAAACTTTCCCAGTTGGTTTTATTTGCCACGACTGTCATAGGAGGTAATTTATAGCCTCTTTTGTGTACTTAAATATGAAATAATTAAGGATATTAAATCACTAATGCTTAAAAAAGAACTCTCGGAAAATACGGAAACAAAAACTAAAAAAACAGTTGATAACTAATACTCGTCCTTCCTCTATCACAACCAGAAGATGGCAAGGCATATAATGGCACTAACAGAATGTCTAAGAACGGCAAGACTTAAATACTGATAAACTTTGGTTCTTTATATTTGACACGAGTCATCCAATGACGTGCACGTTCTTCACGTGAAAAAAAAATCGAAATATGAAGAACAGTTCTTCAAAGGATTGTAAATGTACATGTCAAATAGTGATCACGTGATGGTGATGTAAGATGGAAATCTAAATTTCTAATTATGTCAATGTTCATTTAAAAATGACTAAAGATTTTGTCATCTGCATGTTACAGATATTTCAATTTTCACTGAATTACTCCTTTATCGTAACGTTAGATAAGAAATTTCGCACTTTAATTAAAGTAATCAATAGTTATTTATGTATTTTCAATTAAAGTGTTCGTTCAAAATGATGAGTGTAATTGTGTGTGAATATTACCTAGTAAGTAAACATGTAGAATTAGGGGAATGAAGTTGAAATACTAGTACCGCGAGATGCCGCGAGATGTTATTTGAGCCGAGAATTGATCCCTGTGTTAAGAATGCATTAGAGCATTTGGAATAGAAACCAGTCACATGTACACAGATGAATTCATGTAACTTAACAATCAATAACACACGCATTTACGTATCTGCTTTAAGCAGGTAAACATTACATGTATACATTTAAAAGATGATCGTCCATGTAGGCACACAATTTACAATTATCCACATTTATTAGATACGTCTTTGATTTATTCCCCCTCCCCCCACGGTTTCATTAATACATTAATAAAAAAGAGATTTTCCTCCGTATCTAAACTGTTTCGAATGTGTTCAACTAAAAGACAGACAAAAATAAGGATTATTTACTAGCTTTAAAGATATTTTGTCCACACTTATACACCATACTTTTTTTCCTTTCCACTCTAATGCGATTTGTTTTACAATAACGTAAGAAAGGCAAGTGTTCTCATAGAAAGTTACAAAAAATATAACATTTCAACCTCATTCTATATAAATATGTTCCTTTTCTCTTTAAATCACTCAAAAAACAATGTTAACAAACTTATTATGACAAAAATTCTCGCATCATATAAACTGATATGAGGAATACATTGATAATATATCTAGCTTTATAAAACATGTATACATATTAACAACATGACTAGATTAGAAATTAATAATTGTACGTTAGAAGCAGACGACTCATCTTGCTTTTCTAAGGCCATTAAGTTGGAATTTAGTTTACCATTGCGACAACCAAGAAGTTTAGCAGTCGGTTTACCGGTCTTTTTGCGGGTCCTCATTTTATTGTCGTAAAATTCCCAAAATTGGTCCCCTTGTAGGAAGTATGTCTTTTCTGAAAACAAAATTGAAACATAATAAACCTATATATAAACCACAATATGTATTTATAAATCTGTATAAATACTGTACATAGCCATTAAAATCTGAACATACATATGCAAGTTCAGTTGCCATATCATACAATCATAACTTATTGAATATATGTGGCAAAGTGTAGTCACACTTTCACGAGTAAGGACAAACTTTTTTTTATCATTAGATACTTTTCACAGGCTAACCATTTTTATTCAAGTGGCCTCTAAGTTGGTTTGAGACAGGATGTTTCAGATCACCGATCTTCAAACAGCCCCTTGAAACTATAATGCTGTTGAACACTTTAGTTGTACGAACGTGTTTCCGTTTTCTTTAAGATAAACTCTTAAAATCTCACATTCTATTCTACGTGTCATCAAAACATTGTGTACATGTATCCATTGTTTGTGTATTTAATATTGTCCTTGTATAACATAACTTGACAAACTTCATAAAAAACATCTTTAAGAAATGATATGGGCAATTTCATCAGAAACCGAAAATAATATCACTTTTAAAGCTTGTTTTGCAAAAAGCTTATGATATATGTTACGTACAAGGGTTTTCTAACAAAAAGTAAAGGTTAATGAATTATTCCCCTTTGGTTATCCTGATTTAATTTGCTCACTGTCTTAAATATTACAAAACCGGAATATAACTCACCGTCCCAATGTTGGAAAGCGCTATCTAACGGTACAGGAACGTTTCTCCAAATACTCATATCCCTGGGATAGTCATACTCAATATAATCGTCCTTAGAGTTTAACTTCCAGTACATGTCCCCAGTCACAAGATATGTCCGCTTGTTGTAGGCCCAAACAAACACTGCATCGATTTTCTTCACTTCTTTGTCAATTCCTAGTTCCGTTAAACTCCGGCCTTCTTTTGGAAAGTTTGATACCATATGATTACTCGAAAACATCCAAAATCTGTTACCTAGTATTTGAAAAATAAATAAGGTTTTGGATTTACAAACAATCACCCAGAAGATAAGACGTAAAGTTGGAGGAAATAAAAGTATCTAGATGGGGGTATAAATTGATATGGTATAAATTTCATTTGACCAAAACAAATGATCATACATATTCACGTCTTGTCCCAGGCATCTCTGCATGTGATATTTTGATATGAAGTTTCCATTTAACTTAAATCTTAACAGCCCTGCAATTATGACATAATCGTATTACAGAATAGACGAACGGCACGGACTAAAACTTTTCCCTAGTCAGCTGCATTATCAGTGTTTGTCATCTCATCATTATGAAAATTTGTAGGAGGCTAACGACGTAATTGTTTGTTCTTGGGAAACACGAAGCTATTGGTGTTCATTTAAGGCTGTGAATTATGAACTAACTTTAACTGAATAAAGCTTTTAGTAATCAGACATCTCAACGCAATCACTCGGATAGCTTTTCTTACTGAACAACTTTAACAAAACAACAAAATGTCTAGTGTTTGTGAAAGTGGTATCTTATCATCTTTCTTACTTGTGAAAAATGTATTTTCAGCTGCAAATGAAGACATATATCATCATGTTATTGTTAGCGAGTATAAAGAGAAAACAATACGACAACTTTATACGTAGGTCATAACAAACCTTTAAAGAAAACGATTTTTCCATCTTCACGTTCATATAAAGCGTCTACGCCGTCTTCCGGGAGACCATACCAAAACTGATTAATCTTTGTCGGCGAGGAGCTTATCCCATTAATTCCAAGGCGCCAAAATTTCTGAAAATATTATCAAAATCTCATACAATACAGATATGGTAGGTTTCATTCACGATCGGGTTTTAATGACACATTAGTTATTTACCAATGTATTCTCGTTCAAAAAGGATGTGTTTAATGCTCCATGTTTTGAAATTTTCAAATATCATTGAACTAATAATAAGGAGTTTATGTCATTTTAGAAATAACTTATTTTACAGAGTGCCCGTGTAGGAAAGTCCAAAACTTACAGATCCAATGAATATGAACACTTCCTTTCTGATGACAGTTATGGCATCTATAGAGTGTGTACATGGGTTAATATCATCATCAGGCTCCCGGGGAGGAGGACGCGGATTTACAGTATAACCATCCCTATCACGACCTTGATCACGATCGTCGGGTGTAACTACAGTTGGACGTCGGGTTGGGTCGGGTCGTGGCGGCAGAGGCCCGTCCCTCTTTGAACCTGCCGTAAAAATAACAATGAACAAAAACACATTAACTTGAAAATATATTTTCACGGCTAATTTAAGTTCATGACATTATTCCGCTCGTTAAAAGCCGTACATGTAATAGAAAGAGCACCGAAACACGAGGCTATCTGATTTGTACGAGGGGGCGTAGCCCCCGAGTATTAATCAGATTGCCGAGTGTTTTGGTGTTCTTTCTTTTTTGTATCATAGTCAAACATAAAAGCACGTTCCCTGTTGTCACAATATGAAACCCCTGCAAAAATGAACCAATGAACGAACATCTGAATTTGACATTTTTGTCGCTTTCCCTTTCTCTGCCGTCACAATATGTAAACCCCAGCAAAAATGAGCCAATCAATGGGCATGCTCTGGAGTGCGGGTAACTAATACCCGCACTCCAGTTAACGCACTGTGCATGTATATGTATACGATTTAACCCTGACACATTTTCAACAGAAAGGTCTCCAAACTATGATACAACTACTAATAACTATATAATTACATGTATATACCAGTTTAAACAGCCTGTGTATGAATTATGGACTGGGTAGGCGGTCTGTATGCGATTTATGGACTGGATGACGTCAAAGGACGGCGAATGCAAATGAGATGTAATATTACCGTATAACGTCTGTATTCCAGCAACATCGTCATAGGGTAATTTAAAGCCGTCAACGTAACCTTGATACCACGGGTACATCAGCGCTTCCGTGTTACTGCTGTGGGCCAGACCCAGCGCGTGCCCAAACTCGTGTGCAGCCACCATAAACAGATCAACTCCTACAAAACAAAGCATTAAAAATAAAGACAACATAGAGCGACATTCATTAAATAAGAATATAAGTTTCAATTTTTTTTCCTTTTTCTTGATTTTGCTTCTTCGCGTTTACATTTTATTATATTCCTATATAACTACACATTTCAGTATTCTATTGCGGTAAAGTAGGTCTTGCCAGACCAGATTTAGATGTTATGCGGTTATCTAAAAATCGCACAAAATCGTATCTTGTACAATAATGATTATCATTTATTCAAAGATAGAAATAAAGCACCAACTGTTGACTTGCTAAACTTTATATCAGTATACAATACGCTTTTCAAAAAGGAAAAAGTGCCAAAACAGAAATCTTTCTGAGTTGAATAGTTATAGTGTTGCCAGATATTTTTACGATAGACATAACAGAGCACGAGGCAAATCATCAGCAATTATTCGAGGTCAAAGGTTGTTGATATATTCGTACTGCCATATGTTTTTGTACGCTTCATTAGAAAGTCAGATTATGTTGAAATATTCACCAGTTTTAAATCGTATGGAAAATAAGATAGGACTTATAACAAACACACATATGGTACGTTATAAATATAACAGAAGCAATAAAAACAATTGAGTTCTCACACAACAGGTGCTCTTTAAATAATATGATAATTTTTATGATATATGTGTGGTCTTTTAATACCAGTAATAACAAGTGTAAACAACATATTGAGCGAAAAGATAAAATAGCAATACATTAAAATACTAGATTATATAACACAGTTTGGAAGAGTGATAAAATATTGTAAAGAAATCTCCATTCTTCATTTATAAATCTGTTCCAGAATTCAAATAATAGAATGCTGCATAGTGTGCCCCTTTGGAAGTGAACCGTTTACATGTTGTGTACGGAAGTGATCAGTCGAGTATAGAGCCAGGTTCGTGCTGTCTGACCAGACTACAGGAATACTGAAATCCCTTAAAGTTTGAATGAACTGTTCCTAATTCAAACAGGACGAATCCATTTTAGAATTTCAGTAAGGATTTTACATGCTCATGTAAATTAATGTAGAATCAATGATACTGTCGTCTGCATCTATTTTCATTGCATTTTCTGCTGATTGCTGCGTAATACTGACTCAACTTCGTCTGCAAAATTTGACCTTTTTTATTTTGTTATTGGGACTGGCAAGTTCATGTATCATTTAAGATAAATACCTTCTGATGAATTAAACGTCCAAGTTTCTGCGTCATCAAAATGTGTGTCCCCGCCTCTGTCGTCACCAGGGAAGAACGCATGCGCTAAAACCGAACCTGTGAATTTATACGTTTCAATTATAATTCAACATATGACATATATGGATTTCATTCGTCCTTACATGAGAATAGGGTGATTTTCTTATTTCAAATAAAAGTATTTGGCTAGATGCCAGGCGTTAATAAATTAACAAAATAAGGATAACACTATCGGTTCTAGTAAATATCAGGAAAATTAAGAAAGAAAAGCATGTACATATATACTCATTAAAAAACGTTATAATTTATTAAATCATTAAATGTTATCCCTATTGAAAGTAAACATTAATAAAGTTTCATTAAGTATCAAACCTTTGCCGTCGAAGGGATATCCGTCATGGTGATACCCTTTTGCAAACTGGATCAAAATATGAGCGTCGGCGTTGATCGTCTCTGTGAATGTAAGTGGAGATACATCACTCCATACCTTGAAAGCATCGGAAATTATTCTCCGTACATTATCAGAACTTAGATCTGGTGTAACGTTGTCGATCCTGAAAGAATAAAATCATATAAAATGAAATATGAACCCTTCTATAAAGACTTGAGTTAAACATGAATGCAAGAAATAACTGTGAGCGCAGTTATCAAAATGCTTAGCTGAAATGAGTCAAATCTTTAGATAAGACCATAATAGTGACTGGTTTTGTACCTTAGGATGACACTGATGACACAGCGATGTTAATAAAACTTGGCAGATCTTGAACATGTTATATACATATACATTTACAGGTTGTCATATACATGTATATATGTATTTGTATGTAATTTCTGTAAGTTGCCGTCACTTTTGAATGGGTGAACATACGCTTGGTTATTTGTACGGTATATCATGACATAATATAATATCGGGTACTGTCAATGCTGGTATATTGCTCACGTGACATTGACAGATATAAGACAATCTATGCTCTATATCAATGCTATTTTATCATGGTATAAATCTGGTAGAGACACCGACGCTCCTCTTCGCTAGGAACGGCAACAACATGTTTTATACATTAATATCTAACGCAAACGTGTTTAGAAACGCGTATATGCACTACGATTATAATTATTGTTTCCCATTTTCTTGTGGTGGTAAAGTTGCTACACGTATTTGATAAAGTGGATCAGAAATAGATTTATCTTGAAATTTCGGGTGTGACAAAGTATGTAATTGTGATATCAATGATTTATTGTTTTCACAAAACCACAGAAACTTTCCAGAAATTCAATACGTTTTTTTTAGGATTGATAAAGATCGTTTATTTAAGCACTTTTTTCATGAGTTTTTTATTTCTATTTAGAACATAATTCACAATTCTAAGAACAGCTTTGTTCTATATTAGCAAATGTTGATACCTTTACTTGTTTACAAATGACCGGGGGCTTATTCTTGTTTAAAATCTCAAACATCTAAAATTTAGAGTTTGTAAATAAAACTCAGATCAAATTTCTTTACATCGTGTAAAACAGACTACTGGAAGAAATGGTAGTAACAGATGTTTTATATGTTTTATTACCTCTCAATATTGCGTCATTCTTGAATCCAAAGACAGACAATAACCGCAAAGTGTAATATTATCAGGAAAGCATGTTGGTGTAAAGAGTGAGTCATAAAGACAGTAGTGCCACGGTGTACAGAACAACGTGTTCTAACCAATGATTCATGAACCTTCATTTGTCACTCTTGGTTAAAAGAGGGAAGTTGTGTAGACTAAAATTAGAACCACTGAAACCACGAGACTGGTTAGAAATATATAAAAAAGTCGACACAAAACTCCAGATTTCGGATAAGAGGGTCACTGGGATAATTAAGTGCTTGGCAGTACAATATAGGTCAATACAAACGTACATGTTGATCAAAGTACATTATGAATTACAGAAGAAACGCTTGAAAATGGACTTTTTAGGTTAAAGTAACCGAAAAGAGGAAAACCAACTGCAAATAATGAATTCTGAAGTTAACCCCTTGTTGAGAAGTAATTTTACTGGATACTTCAAAACTTCCACCTTGATTATGAGCTTGACAATTTGGGCAAATTTTATGTTTGTGAGTCACATCGACATGTTTTATGTTATACGACGACCTTTTGACTTTGTTAGTGAATGAAAACCATCCATGTGTAGCACCTTGTCTTACTCCAGGAACGAATGAGCCGCGCCATGACAAAACCAACATAATGGGTTTGCGACCAGCATTGATCCAGACCAGCCTGCGCATCCGCGCAGTCTGATCAGGATCCATGCTGTTCGCTTACCAACTCTATTACAAGTAGATAAACTGACAGCGAACAGCATGGATCCTGATCAGACTGAGCGGATGCGCAGGCTGGTCTGGATCCATGCTGGTCGCAAACGCACTAAGTTGGTTTTGTCGTGACGCGGCTCAAATGACTTTATGGAACCACAGACATTAAGCTAAATACATCATTTGACACGACCATGCTTTTTTGTATTGCAATACCAGCAGGTCCAGTACACCATGTCAACACTGCCATATTCTTATTATTCTTTTGCACAGTTTCAAAAATGTTGTTGGCAAAAACATTTTACAGTCCTGCTTACATATTTCTACCATACCTTTTCATAATCATATATTATTCAAGAAATATAAGCAAAGTAATACTTTATTTTTCAAAATCCCAGCAATATTTTTCTTCTGTTAAATCTGCTGATCTTCACAAATTGTTTGACAACCTTGTTAACAATATTTCAAACCTTAATTTCCACTAACAGATAATTATATAACACTTTTTATATCTCTGAAAAACATGTGCACGACTTGGAATTTCTCCAAACCACCAGAAAAAAAAACCTTATTCATCATTAAGTGGACTAATTCCGGTTGCCTTGAAATATGAAAATCTCATACTTTTACCTAGTGAATTAGTTTATACAAAATTTATTTTAGTTTGATCATGTAGGACACATTCTCGGCACCAACCAGTACTAAGACTAAGCAATAAGTGTAAGGCCTTTATCGCCCTTCGATTATTGAGAATTAAACTTAAACTTTTATTTCCGCTGACGTAAAGACATAAATTGCATTTCGTCTTGCCGCCGTATTCCTTGTCGTAAATGAAGTAAAAGAACATGACCTATACATACGCCACTTCTTTGTAATTTCCTTCTATATGTCTTGAAAACGCCTCGCCGGGTGTAGCAAGAATCCTTTTGGAACCCAAGTTGGACAGAATGCTTTTGTCACTTATGTCCATAGAAAGTATAAAAATCATATGTTGGACAGCAGATATCATTAGTTTTTCATCATTGGGATAAGATGGCAAAACGCCACTACTTGTACATATATTGACCCTTTCAAGGATTTTACCTTTCTGCATTTTGTTTCAATTATTTGTAGCCTATCTATAATCAAGAAACATTAATAATTTAAATTTGCCCTAACAGTAACTGACATATTTCGTTAATCAAATACATTTCTGGTTTGTTTTAAAATAACCTTATCAAGACTTGATATCGTTTTCCAGGTGAAGCAATCAGTTCTTATAATCTGTCGGCGTGTGGTGAGATTATATGCTAAACTGGCGTTAAATCTCACAAACATGATTTGGGTTGAATGCCGCTGATTTTTTTTTCAAGAATCGCGTTTCAAAAAAATACTTCAAGACTTTAGATAATTACGACTGTAACTAATTGCACCATGAATTGAAATTTAAAACAATCTGGCGACATTTTTAACATCGTTATAATCCGTCACTGGATCTAGTGTAATCAGGTTAAAATACGGGCGATATGGGCTTTATTCATCTATTATGGGCTACGTTTCACGTGACCTTGAATGGAAACGTTTTAATTTCCGTTATAATCCATACATTAACACAGATAGTTTATCTGTACAGAACATATGTATTGTCAGTTAAAGATTACATAATCTAGGTGAGGCAATAACTGTCTTATACCTTAGATTGATTGAACGGTAGAATTGTGTAAAGATAAAAAGTGTGATGTAATCAAATAAATGCCCTATATACTGAAATGTAAGACTTTTTTTATTGAACATTTGTTTTTTAAATTTGTATCCCATCTTAAATCAATAAACGATTTTAACAGTCAATTATCATTAAATGAAGATCTAACAGATGTTGCTAAAGTATGGAAAATCAATAGGAAACATACAAGCATATGCTTTGTTGGGATGATGGCATACACACGCCTCCATATATAATTTCGCTTTAACTACGGAGTAAAGGGAGGGGCATACTCTGCTGCATAATGCTTCGTCTATAACTTTTTACTGTAGTGAGCCAATAAGTGACACCTTCAAGAGCACATACTGTAATGCGGTGCCGTATATTTAACTTGAAAAAAAAACCATAAATGAAACATTTTGCATAGGTAGGGTAAATACATAACTGAAGATTCCAGGATGCTATGAGTAAATGTTACCTTGAAGCTAGCACGCTAAAGTTGAAACAGGTTACTGTTTCAATCACGTTTCCAGTAACATATACTTGTAAAGCTATGATTTCTGCTGCCTGCAGCTTACACAATTTTTGTTTGAATTTTGAAAAAAAAAATCCAAAATGCCCGTATGACAAAAATATGTTTATATATTTCCTTATGAGCGAATGGCGCATACACGGGATTATTGCTATATTTTACACCTACTTAAAATAACAACATGGTATTTTGTTCCGGAACAAATTATTCAGTTTATGTACAATGTTCTTGTGTATTAAATAACAGAAACATTCTATGTTACAACTCTTCCGTGTATCGACATTAAGATTATGAAAACAACATTATTTTGTCGTTTTGAAATTAAAAAAAAAATCATTAGTTTTATACCCTTGATGTTTTTTTTTTATATTTTTAAAAAATATCTTTCCGACAATTATATGAATAATATCTTCACTGGTGAACTTAGAACTTGTAACTATTCGTTATCAAGATATCTTGATAAAATAATCAACAGCATATACATAATTTGAAATACTTTAAGCATGAAGTCATGATAGTTTGAACGCTAATTCTAGAAAACTGTCAATTCATTAAGAGCAAAGTCAGGTGAAATTAATAAGTTCGAGACTGCTCACAGTTAGTTTTTAGTATGGCCCTTACACCAGCTTAAGCAGTTTTCAATTAACAATAATAAAAGATCCCGGGGGTTCAGAAAAATAGAACAGCATTGCAATGAAAATGTTACTGGAGTAGAGGATACAACAGTAACAGTTTTACTCCGATATATATACCCTGCCTGCACGATGCCAGGTATTAACAGAGGCGAGTACGTGTTTTGTAGTGAGTATTTTGAGGCTTTAACGCCGAATAACTCATTATATTTTAAACGAAACATGACGTGTATAGAGTACAAAATGTAGAAACTGTTAGATAAAGGAATATAATCAGTTTCTGCCAGATATATACATGTCATGTGTGAACCATAACGTATGTGACAATTTCAATGCACAACAACTTAAAGAAATTGAGATGTTATTTGATATAACCATATTGCAATATGTAGTTTTAACCTTACATATAGACTATG